GACTACAGCTCCCGGCAGCCCCTGCGGCCGCGCCCCCGCCGAGGCTGCGCGCCGTTAAGATGGCGGCGGGGGCGTCGGCAGCGGCCGTTGGTGCGGGGAGCCGCGGCGCAGGGCGCCGAGTTAGTGACGACGCTTGAATTTGTTCCCATTGCTTAGCAGCAGCAGCAGTTAAATAGCCAGGTTTCACCCGAGAACGCGATTGTAAATGGATTTCAGAAAAGATAATTTTCAGTCCCCTAAACACAGTTTTGTTACGTAAGCGCAAAGTATTTATTCAGAAAATTCTCCTAAATTCGTGGGGATGTTTTAGCTGAGCAGTGACAGTTGGATCACGGTGTAACTGCTTGAGATCTTTCCTGTTAATACGTTTTGTGAAGCCGCAGTGACGCGCCTTGGCAGATCTTCATCAGAAGTGCCACAGGCTGCAATAAAGCGGGAGCGCCGGGCAGTTAACCTTGTGTCGATGTCAGGGGAGGTAAATCTCCATCGCTGAGAACGGAGTCACAGAATGGTGAACCTCAGGAACCTGAGATGAATTTTTATCGTTGGAGAAACATTATTTTTTTACTGCATGCATACAATATATGAACCATAAATAAAACCATAATAAAACTAAACCTTACCCTTTCTAAAAAAACACTGTCTTGCACAGTGCCATCTTCACGTGCTGCCGAGGTGAGCTAAATGCATTGCGGAAAGTAGAGCTACTCCGCAAGGAGCCCAATAGAAGTAAATACCTACAGATGACACAGGTGTTACATAGGTACCTCTCTTTTAAAAGGCTTTGTAACGCAGAGCCTTGTGGTTTTGCTCCATGGGGAAATGAGGCACTCTGTGGGCGCGTCCCGAGCGCGCTGCCCGGCGCCGCTGGCGCTCCGTGGCTCCCCGCCGTGGGGCAGCAGCCCCGCTGAAGGGGACGGCCGCACTCGGAGGGTGGAAGCGGAGAGCGGCGCCCGAAGGCGCTGCGGCAGCCCCGCAAGGGCAGCGCCGAGCGTGCGGCTGCCCCGCTGCTGCCCCGCTCTGTGCCGCCCCTCCCGTCGCTGCTGCTCGCCTCGCACCACCTCATGCCGCCCGCGGCACTGGGGTCACTCCAGGGGTCCCCAGTTACAACCTGCGGGAAAAAGGCTCTCATGCAGCGGGCACAGACGCCCTCAGAGCGGGTCAGGAGGCCGTAGGTACAACTTCCGTGGGCTGCTAAGCTTTAAATAAAAGACGTGCTAGAGAAGCTTGCTGCCCTGGCAGGAAATGCGTAATATTTTGCGTTGGGGGGAGCAGGGGGCAAGTGTTCCCAGCCGCTCGCCCCGGTGGGAATCCCGTCATCTCCGGGATGCGGAGCGGGAGCGGGCGCCTCGTGGGGCCGCCGTGGGCTCCGTGGGGCGGCCGGTCGGTGCCGCGGCCGCTCCCAGGCTGCAGCAGTGACGGCAAGTGGGGCCCGCAGCCCTGGCTGATGGGAACCTGCCTCCCGCTTCCACCCGCAGGCCGCCCACGCTCCCGCTGCCTCCCACGGCGCTTCCCGCCTCCCTCCGACCGCACCGAGCAATCCCAGCGCCGCGAGGCTCCTGCATGGCCCCGGAGCGCCCAGCTCGCGCACGGCCCATGGCTTGGCCACACGGAGCTCCCACCCCACATCCCGCTGGAGCTTCCTGCCCTGTGACCCTCCGGAGCTTCCCGCCCCACATCCCTTCAGAGCTCCCACCCTGCAACCCTCCGGAGCTTCCAGCCTCTCCGCGTGGCAGCCATGCACAACGGTGGCTTTGCTCTACACGGGGAAGCATCTCTCAGCAGCAGAGATCTCTCCCTGTATTTTCCTATATGTGTGTGTGTTTTTCCTATATGTGTGTGTGTGTCTGTGCAGTCCATAATCTTGGATATCTGCAGATTGGACTCTCAGGTACACGACAAAACTGCTGCTATTCACTGCTTCCCAGTAATGGATGGATGCGTTTGAATGCCTCCGGAGTGGTGAATTCTGGCAAGGATTGGCTGCTTCCATAAGATGTGTGAACTGAGCTTATGGAATTGATTTTATCTTTTCCTTCTCAGGAGGAAGTGAAAGGGTGAAATATGCACTTTCCTTTTCCAAAGTTGGATCGATGAAAGAAAGTCATTTGGAAAAAAAACAATAAGCAAAATGAAGCAGGATGATTTGCAATCTCTAGTTTCCCAATCAGGACCTGGCAATGTTGAGGAAGAGCTTTCCGATTATAGGAGCTGTAAGCAAAATATTAGGGGTAGCAAAGGAAATGATGCAGCAGTCTGTCGGTGCGGGCGCTCTGGGTGCCCCCGCGCAGGGGCCGACTGCCCCTTGCAGAGCTGCTCTGGCCACCGCGAGCCCCAGTGCGCGACTGCAGCCCCATGCCTGGGGTATGGCCCAGTCACACAGCGTCCCGCGGGGGCGAGGCTGGGAGGGACCTCTGGAGATCATGGAGATCACACGGGGCACAGGGCGGCATCCAGGCGGGTTTGGAGACCTCCAGAGAAGGAGACTCCACAGCCTCCCTGGGCAGCCTGTGCCAGGGCTCTGGCACCCTCACAGGGAAGAAGTTCTTCCTCACATGGAGAGGGAACTGCCTGTGTTGCAGCTTATACCCATTGCCCCTTGTCCTGTCACTGGCTGTTACTGAGAAGAGCTTGGCCCCTTCCTCCCTACATTGTCCCCTCAGGTATTTGTACGCACTGGTCAGATCCCCTCTCACCCTTCTCTTCTCCAGGCTAAACAGGCCCAGCTTGCTCAGTCTTCCCTCATACAATAGATGCTCCAGTCCCTTCATCATCCTTGTCGCTCTGCCCTGGACCCTCTCTAGAAGCTCCGTGTCCCTGTTGCACTGGGGAGCCCAGAACTGCACCCAATACTCCAGTTTTAAAGTTAACTCCAGTTTTACTACTTATAAAATGTGCAGGAGAGCAGCCTCCCCTGTTCCCACAAGTTCCCTGAAGCCTCGGGAACACACTGGGCTATTCCAGATGTTTCTACAGCCTGAAGGACGGGTGGTGGGAATCAGCTGATCTCCAGCTTTCCTCGCTCATTGCAAGTGCAGAGGAGCAGCCTAGCTGCGCCTTAATTCACTTTATTGCGAGTTCTGCTCTACATTAGCATCGTACCAGCCCAGCCTGTGTAATCCCGGGTATTAGCTACAATTCATGCTTAGCAGAGGGGCAATTCGGTGACAACTTTCTGCCTTTGTCTGTGCCTCCTGAACCACTTCCCGCTGCAACGGGAGGCTCAGGCTGAATACCACTCCTGTGGAAAAACTCTTCCTCAGTTTTACCATGAGTTGTTTTTAGAGAGTTTTGATTTGGTTGGTTGGTTGGTTGGTTTCGCTGGATCAAATAACCCACTCTGATTCTGATTTTCAAAATAACATTTCAAAACAGTGTGGCCTCACTAAGCGGGAATTGCTTAATCCCCAATCCTCGACTGTACAAAACTCGACGGCAAGTCAGTTGTGGATCACAAGCTGATGAGCACTGACACTTACTGCTGGGGCAAGGACTGCGCTCTCCGTGCCCTAAGCCAGCTCCAGCGGTGCTGGAGCTAAACGCCAGAGCGTGTTTTGTGGGGCTGTGAATCACCGCAGTGCTTCCAGGTTGTGGGAAGGTGGGGAAAG